GCCAATTTTTTTCCTTTTATTCTAAAATGAACGTTTTTTTGAATATTCATTTTATCTTGAAATCATTTTCCCTCAGGGAGGATTAAACACCACCTTAGGTTTCATTATTTTTATTGTTTTACAGATTAGTATGTCTAACCCGCTACAATTAACCCTGACTCTAATAATCCCCCTTTATACACCTACGTGATATTGAACCCCAAAAATCCCTCGTACACCTACGCAACGTGAATACATTAACCTCGGCCGAGACACTCGGACCCAGACCCCTACGGAATGGCCAGTTAACAAAATAAACCAAATGTTGTACTTAATTCCTCTGCCATCTTGGATTCTTTTGTTTTTGAAAAAACCGTTATGATGTTTTTAAACACCCTACTAACGAAATTTAACCCTAACCCTAAAAACCCTCGTACACCTACGCCACATTTAACCCTAATAACCCCCAAATACACCAACGCTAATTTTAACCCTAATAATCCCCTAGTGTACACCTACGGGATATTTAATCCTAAAAACCACCCTCGCCCACCTACGCGGTATGAATAACTAAATAGACCCCACTCGGTCGAATCAGTCGGACCTAGGCCGTGCGGGAATCACCATACAGGCCCCCTACACTACTGCCAATCTTCAAGTAGTTCAAATTAAACAATATTAGCGGTTGGTCACAGAGGCTGACATATCTTAATTTATTGCTATCAATTTTTCTATTCGCAAAGTAACGGAAACATTGACAGGAACAAGATATTGCACCACCAAAATCTTCTCTCCTTTTGTTACTTTACTGACTCCTTAAATTCTACCTGTACTTTGTACCAGGATATTCATTATAATTACTCCCTTGTGATTAGAGCAAAAGTTACTGTTGATAACCAAATAACTTCAAAAGCTCTCCTCTACTTTTCTTTGAAATTCAGTTTCAACTCATATTTTCATGTAACTAATATAAGAAAGTAAAACAGAGAAGGAATATTGAACTTTTTTCCTGTTTGTTTCTACACCATCGTCCATCCAACCTGAGCTATTGTGTTCATATTAAACGCCGTAGCGTTTAACAGAGAGATATTTCAGTATATCGCTAATGTTTCGACTCTCTGTCCCTTTATTTGTTCACGTGGAAGTAATGAGTATTAACAAAAGCTCGTGCAACAATGTAATAAGGTATAATATTAGTGACTTTCCAATAACACAACCGTCGGGCGTTGTCTTATTTTGCAGCAACCTTTACTTTATAAGTCAGCTATAACACAAAAACTAAAGTGACGAGTCGAAGAAGATCTAACTGCATGGACATGTACAGGAAAGCGCTTGTCTGATTGTCTGCTTTGCTGCTTTTCTCACGTCACTGATCTTCCAGCAATAAAGAAACGGATTCAAGGTGGAGTTGAAGTATAGTAAGGCTACCACTATTCCTCTGATGACGACTAAATATGATGATAATGCTTTTCTACGAGCTGTCAAACTTTCAACTATAAAATATGGTGCATAACAAACAACTAGTGCTAGCTGCACCCATAGTGCACTGTACACTGCCTTTCTGTATCGCAAAATGTTCAGTGAATTTGGTTGGCTCGATTGTTGTCGTACTTGTGCCTTGTGATAACGTAAACTGAGGAAAATCTTTGTGTACGAGATGATTGAGATTGCTAAACAAACCGGTACAGTTATGTATAAAAACCAAAAGGCTATGCGTTGATTTAAAACGTAGGATAGAGCAGCGACAGCAGAGAAAACCCAAACGGTAGTTAATATTATATAGGTGCGCTTCAAAGTTACAATTTGTCTGTATCTCAGCCCCAACAACAAGGCGAGAAGTCTGTCGACGCTTATGACCGTCATTGTCAATAAAGATACTCCACATAATCCATAGCTTGTTAAATAACCGACACCTCTGGCGTATCTACAAATATTCCAGTGTTTGTAAACTGAAGAAATCTGATAAGTGGCACTGAGAGGCTGGGTAACAAGACCAACCAACAGATCAGTTGTCGGCAGCTTACGGTACAACAGTTTGGACGGAGGATGAAGGGAAGATTCTTTGCAAAGAGCAAGTAGGATTAGAGAATTTCCAAGAATTGCAGTGAGGGTGAAGAATAAGTTTACCATTGCGAGATAAATTGATGGTTGTTGTAATCTAACTGTAAAAGAGGGAGAGCATACCAGTTCTTGAAATGTTCTTATCTGCATTTCATCTCCTGTTAAATTGTTTGCCGCCATCAGCAACGAAAGATCTGTCGTCTCAACAATATCCACCAAGATACGATTAGTGAAACCTGACTTCCTTGGAAATGATCACATAAAGACTTTCTTAGCGATCACTAAATAACCTACGCAGAACACCGATTACTAAGTCAATTTTTTTTTTCTTTTTTGTCTAGTTTTGCATGTGCCTCAGGCGTAAATTGGCAAAATGACGCAGGCATAAGGCATGTATAATATCATTATCTATGGCTCGACAAGTACTCGCTTCTTACCTGGATAATCTCTTTTTTTACGAGGTTAGAAAATCAATTTGTTTCCGTGAGGTTGAGAAGAATCAGAATCAGAATCATCCTCTGTGAGCTAAAAAGGGAAAGTCCTCGCCAGCGACGTTGATGGGTTTTAGATAAAATTGAATTCGCGACATTCTCCGAGTAATTAAAATCAAACAATGTTGCCGTTATGCCAATATTTCTTAAAATGTTTGAATTCAATTTTAATTTTAATTTCAATTTTTAATTAATAAAGCTTCCAGCTTTTTACTTTCCTTTTCTCTCCTTAATGGCGGAAACGGTGACAGAAGCAAGATATTGTGCTCGCTTTTGTTACGTTATCTATTCCTTTTTGCTTTCATTCGCCATCTTCACTTATTCCAGAACATTCAATGTAATTAGGTCTAATGATCTCCAATGATCAGAAACAAAGGTAATTTTACCTCCCACTAACAGATAATTTAAAAGCTCTCCTTTACAACTCTTTCAAATTCAAGTTCATCCCACACTTCCTGTTACTAAGAAAACAAGAAAAGGGAGTAATATCGAACTCACTTGCCGTTTCTTTCTCATGCGTGGAAAACGCTAAACGCCGGAGTGTAAAAGATTGGAAGACATTTTTGATTGCAAATTTAAATATTTGAAGATATTTTGGCATATGCGACCAAAAGTTAACATTGAACAGTTTCAATAACTCGGCGATTATCACGAATTCGATTTA